ATGATGGTGGGTAGACCATGTATGATGTATGATGCATTATTGCATGTGATGCCTTATGAATGTGTCTAGCCTAGGACTTGAGGAGAGGAAAATATTTTCAAACTGGAAGAGCTCACATAAAGTCTCTTGAGAGTGGTGTTTGGATAGACCACTGATATATGAGAGTGGTGCCCAAGTAGGCCACTGGATTTGGGAGAATGGTGCTCAGGTAGGGCACTGGGTTGGGTGAGTTTCCTCTAAGTCCTTAGCTAGTGTTGGAGCGGGGTATGAGGTCAAGGGTTATTCCCTTAACCAAATACTCGGGAAGGTGCGTGGATCCTTACGGATAGTCGGTGAGCGAACTCCACAATTGACTTGGTAATGCATGCCAAGGTCGTGGTAAGCCCGTACCCAGCTGTGCTATACCTGACGGTGGATCTGGACTTCCAATTGTGTAAGTGACATCATCCGAGTAAACTCGAGTGAGGTATATATCCTGTTTAGCTGTGACCGAGCGGGCGCATTGGGCGTGAAAACGGTTGGGGTGGTTTCGATAGGATGGAATGTCACTTATATAGCTCTGTTGTTAAGGAGATCTCCTAGGTGTATGCGTGACGACGCATTAGATGATTGATATGCATTGATATCTATCATGAGATGCATTTATTGCATGATTGTTAATATGATGAAGTGTGTGGTGTTTGACTTCATGATTGGTGGATTATATTTTATGCATGAGTAGTATTGGATAGAGTGTATGTTGTGACTCTATGAATATGATTAATAGTTGGATGATTGTGTAGTAGAGATTTTATTCTGTACTTGTATGATTGATTTTTGAACTCTAGCTTACCCTTTTGTTTTCATGTGATAGGACTGCGATGATCATACTTGGTATGGGAGCAGGTCAGGGATAGCTTGGAGTTGAGGTGACCGTTGTGAGACGAGGATTTTATCCTAGTGTCAGAGTTACCTTCTGGGGTAACAGTAGTTTGTGCTTGACCGGCACTAGGAGTTATTATTTTGGATGACTGTACATATGCAGTGTTATATTTTATATTTAGAAACATAGTTGTTATTTTTATTTATATATATATATACTTGCATGTATGTGTTATCCAGTTTAATATTCTCTTAGTTAACTAGTAGTAATGCGATTCTACTAAGTGTAGGGACCATAGCGGGTCGTTACAAAGATAATTTTAAAAAATAGTTTAATTAAATTATTAACAAATTTCACTCATAACTAAATTAATTATTTTTCTTAAATAGTATAATTTAGTTGAAAAGGTTTTATAAATAAAGACAAAGGTAGTAACCATATTAAGCATCACTATAACTTTCATCTCTTTAACATTTGACTCTAACCAAGAAGAAGATCTCATTCTCTCTCTCTCTCTCTCTCTCTCTCTCTCTATATATATATAT